TGAGAAAAGGGGTATGTAAGGAATGATACATACTAGTAAAAACTGTGGTTGAATTTTTTTTTTAAGTGATGCTGTAAAAACTGAAGTGACACTTCTTCCTACAGATAGCAGTAGAGAAATCAAGCAACAATAAATATTGAAACAGTAGCACAACCTTGTAGACAGACCTCTTTTTCCCCTGTTAAAATGGAAATGAAGTGTAATCTTAGACATTATCAACTATAATAATAATGCTGTATCCTGCTAAAAGCCGGGGAGTGGAGCTGGTTGGCATTTTCAGCTGTTGCACGCTGTGAAGTTATTTCCTTATTTCCTATTTTTTGAAGGCTCTTGTTAAAAGAGCGTACTTGACTTTTCTCCAAGGGATAAAAGGCAACTGTGTAGTTTGACTGACAAAATTTTGAGGCTGTGGGTTGTTCACTAAAACTACCTGAACACCTCCAAGCCATGTGAAAGGCGTCTTCTTAATGTGGTCCTTGCATTTAACACTTTTGTTCACTTTCTGTACCACTCTTTTGTCAACCTCGGGAACCATCCGCAGTGTTGGTCTAGGATTCTTTTCTTTGAGAAAGTTCCTCTCTCTCCCCATGGAGCTGAAAGAGGAAATTCATGAAGACTGCAATTTTAAAAGCAAAATTGGGCTTTTTTGTTTTCTGTTTGTTACCATACTAAACAAGATGGGATCTGGCCAGGGTTGTTATAGTAACTACTAAGATTTCCTCAAGAGAAGGAGAAAAAAATAGAACACAGACCCATTCATCTATTACTTCCAGTTTTTCATTCAGAGTTACATGCTGTTCTGTGGAGATAATTTGCAAGACACACAGTATAGGTAATTTCAGTGACAAAAACACATACCAATAATGAGCACAAATGGCTCTCCAGAATGTTGTGCTGGCACTCCTGGGTTATTTTGTAGCTTTGGAGGCCAGAAGGGTTGTCTTCCCTGGATCTGCAGTCATTAGTCATTCAGCTGTCTGGCTTTTCACCTCTGGATTATTGGGCTATCTAAAATATTATATAATTATATTTTATTGATACTCATGCTAGGTAATAGCTTTTTCCTAATACGATATTTTTAAACAACCATGAGGCCCATAGGGCAAGGAGCTATCAAGAACAACTTCAAGAAGCTCAAGTCCTGTTGTGGTCTTGCATGACTACTTTTCTTCACAGGTTGGAAATCCTGAAGCAGCCTAAAAATCCTATTTGTTTCTTATGCCTGCAGTGCTTCATAGTTTTCCAGGGATCAACCAACACTCTTAGCTGGTCTTTCTTGTAGTTGGTCGTTCCAGCTACAGGAATTGTAGGAGGGTCTTGCAGGAATTTGAGCCTGCCCAGAAGAGCATGGCCTACGTCCGTGCCGTTGGATTTCATCCCATGTGCCTGTTTCTCAAGGTCAGCTTTTCTTCTGTATGAGATCTTCAGCCCTTCTGGAGGAACAGTGCATCACCCAGTGCTGCATCGCCAGAAAATATCATCCTAATTCATAACTCTTCCTTTTTGTCCAATGTCAAGAGGACTTGGCTGGAATAATAAGGACTCATTTCTCTGTCTGGGATATTGGATAGATGTGGAAAAGTATGACCAGCAACTGGCCTTATCCACTGAAGTATTCAGGACGTATTTACTTATGCTCCTGAAGAATGCAAGCTTCTTCCAGGAAAGGACTTGCATATTCACTCTATCACTTGCATATTATTTTTTATTAAGATAAGTTTAAATTTTAAGACAGTTTTAGCATATGTATACATAAGGGAAGGGAGCTAAGAGTAAAGACACAAATTTTTGTTGCTACATACATAGAATCATAGAATGATTTGGTTTGGAAGGGACCTTAAAGATCATCTAGTTCCAACCCCCCCTGCCATGGGGTCCACTAGACCAGGTTGCTCAAAGCCCCATCCAACCTGGTCTTGTCAGTTATGTCTTCTTGGATGATGGCAGTTTAGTTCAAGCAAGCAGCTGGAAGAGAAATCCACTGAAGATCACCAAATCCACAGAAACCTCACCTGCTTTGCCTGAAAGCAGTGGGAGGCTGGGAAGGTGCTTAGGGGAGACATTATTTCTGCTTGCCGCCTTCTTGCTTTTCCCTGTGCATGTACTTGTGGCCAGTGTTGGAGAAAGTTTGAGTTGGGTGGATGTTTTTTCTGAACCAGTAATGAAGGCTTTTCTGTATTAGGTAATTTTCTGATTTTGGGGTTAAGGCATAGTGTTTCCACAGCCAGCTTTTTAGGTTAAATGGGTGATTGCCTAGCCTTTGAAAAAGGGGGGAGATTTTTGAACACACTCAATCATCCTTCATCTTTGATACTCTGTAAAATCTGTAAAAACTGATGAATATAGTTTTCTGATCTTCCTAACTGCCCAATAAAACAGGAACAGAAGAGCAAAAGAAAGTCCAGTTTTGGCCTTGACCATCTTTCTCTGAGATCCTTCATGCTCTCAACGTAGCTAGTCCCCTTCGGGACTGGGAATGAACGCGCCAGCAGTCGAGGATGATGCCAAAATCTGCGAGTGGATCTAAGTCCCATCTGGTAAGAGAAATCCAGAGCAGCTCTGGGAAGTCCTGAGCAAGTGGCTTAGCAAAGCGCAAGAAGGACGATTGCAGCTCTTTCTGCAGGGGCATGTCAGGCATGGAGTGTGGGACAGGCTGACTCAGAGGGAGCCAATTTCAGGACAACAGACCCAGAAATAGGGCAGAAAACAAAAAATTTATCACTTGTTACGCGTGTGTAGCGACACAGGGCCGTGAACTTCAGGCTGGTAGCACTGACCTCGGCATTAGCACCCAACATGAACAAGCCTCATCTCTGAGCCCACATTTTGCCAAGAATATACAGTTTTTTGCAGAGGTCGTTCCTATCTGATGCTAAGCCTCATTTGCCGTCTTTGTACAGACTCCACTTCTGCTGAGTAGCTGCTAATCAGGGCAAGCATATATAAAATACCAGGGCTGGAAATAACGTGCTGCTGATGATGTGAGCTCAGCCAGTGTAAAAACGGTCATGGATCCGATCCCAACCAGCTTTCTCTGCAAAGTGAAGGAATTGCCACTATTCCATATGTCCCGAGTATTGAATGTTTTAAGGACAATAGTCATTCATTAATTGCCGCTTTCAGGTTGGCGTAACTGCTGGCGCTTCCAAGGAAACGTACTCTTTGATGTTTGCATGAAAGAGAGAAAAGTAGTTTCCCTGCAGCCGATCCCATGGACGCGAGCTCGTAATGAGCTCAGGGACGCTCGCCTTATTTACAGGAGGGTTGTGAGAGCAGAGCTTGCACTGACGATGAGGAGCCTTGACACAATTACACTAAAACTACAGGGCTTTAGATGAGCCACCATCACACTACGTGTTATTTTAGACAAAATATTCTGTATTTATGAAATGTCCTCCGGCACTAATATTAGAAAAGCTGCCAAAACAACAGAGCTAGTGCAGAAATGTCAAATGAAGTTGATGTTACTCATCTGGATGACAGATAACCTGCAGGAGGCTTTTGAAAACGTTTAGCTGAGTGATTTGTTTGGCTTTAAATATTTGGGAGCCGTTACTCGGTGATCTGGTGCTTTCTGCAGGCTTGAATAAGCAGATTTAACCCCACTGAAGCCGCTCTTTATATCCTGACTTGTTCCTCTTTAGCTTGGACTAATCAAAGAATCTTTCTACGTGTCTACTTCTGCCCTGTGTTTTTTTTATTTCAAGAAATATATATTATATAAAGTGTATATATATACTCTATATAATATAATGCATATATATGCACACTATGTATATTTCTTGAAATTATTATGTATACAGTTCTTGAAAGTATTATATGTATATATAAACTTTGCTTGAACTGCAGAACACTTCTTTTGTATGTCTATATATATGAATAACTGTTCTGGAGTAAAATTGATGATTCTGACAGGCCGGTAGCATGGCTTAATGCTCTTGTGATCCCTTGAACACATAAAATGTATTTATTCTTCTATTTTGTCACAATGTGAGGAAGATCTTTCTTTACACATGCATATATTTGAATTACTAGTGACAGTGAGATTCTAACTCTAATTGCACTGATGACTGACTGGTATTTTTAGAGAGAACATAATCGGTTGCAAAAACCCCGTCTGAATGAGTGTGTAACAGGCGCCGTAAAAAAGCAGCACAGGTCAGCGGTTCATCATAGCAGCACTCTGAGATCCGTCTGAAGTATATGAAAATGTCATGGTATTTCAGATAAATTAACTCGACTTGGACTTCAACGCACAGTTACGAAGCGGTGCTATTATGTCGCTTTGCATGCCGCTAAAAGCTAGATGCCGTGGAGCTGCTCTTCTTTATATGGCTGTGCTGAAATCAGGCTAAAACTTGCTGCTTTGTAACTTTTTAGCGGGCACTGAGTTCTTAGTGGTGATGCTTAATATGTGCAGGCTTCTACCTTGCTCTTCCCTTCAGCTATACCTCCCCAGTACCTGCATTGGGAGAGGGTGTGGGGGCAAAGTCAGGTCTTCAGTCCAAGCTGTTTCCCTGTTGACATCACTGGGAGATACTCGTCTGAGAGTTGGCATGGAGTGATACCAATGTCTGAGATGTCTTTAGGGTATTCTACATTGCACCTAAATGTATCCGTTTTGTCTTAAACTCTTTTCTACCTTTAAGTGAGAACTCATTCATCTCCGAGATTTATCAAATCTCTGGTATCACACTGAAGACTCTCAAGTTTTTACGATGTCTTCCATAGATGCATTGTGAGGGGGAGTTTTTTGTATTTTCTCTTTTGTTTCTTCCTCTATACCACTTCTGTAGTTAGGTACAAAACAGCAGGGCTGTGCCTACCAGCAAAACAAGTGTCCATGCATCCTTTTTTTTTTTAAATATCATATGGGTAAAAGGACCATCATAAGGTTTGCATGAAAGAAGATATAATTCTATAACTTAAATTCATTGCCTTCAATAAAACAATTCAGTGCAGGACCGATGTTGCAGACCATGCTACTGTTTTATTTGCAGAGCCGTCTGAAGGAAGCTGTGCAGTTGTTGGAGGATTACAAACATGGGACTTTGCCCCCAGGGGTCACCAACAAAGAGGTAAGAGAAAAAGCCTTTTGTTAAATTTCTACTTCTTCCTGTAGTCTAAAGGAGGGGGTAATAAGGTGTCATCTTAGGCTGTGTCTACATTCAAATGCACTACTGCAGGGCTTTTTTGGTGTTTCTCTGTTTGGCTCTGTTCAGTTGATTGCTGACTTCTGCAGTGTTGCTTCTGGTCCCTTGCAACTCAGCTGCCAGTGTGTTATAGTGAATTTGGGTTGTTCTGAAGTTCCCACGTGATAAATGTTGCTGAACAGAAGTGATAGCCAGGGGCTTGCAGTACAAGCATACAAGTTTTTTATTTAGAATAAGTAGAAAGTTTGGGGTTTCTGACTTGCAGAGTTACCAATTACCTTTGGCCAATGCTATTGCTTTCTTTTCCCTTGCAAAGTGCTTGTGAAATTAAAAAAAAGTAATTTTCTTTTTTTAGCTGAAGGAAACCCTGCTGTCAGTCCTGTAGGTTCTTGTACCAGCAACTGTGATGCATCAGCTCCCTCTCCTACTGTGTTCCTGTTGGTTATAGTAATTGCCATTCCTTCACTGAAATAAATGTTGTTTGGGCTACATATAACCCCCTCATGTCCTCATGTTGTAGATTAAACCATCAATAGTGTTACTTTTTGCTGGGTGATGTTCCTACTGTTGGGATGGAAGCTGAAGGAGGTTGTGGAAACCCTACTGCTGCGAAGGTCTTAGCAGAGTTTAGGCAGTTGCTGAGAAAAGGGTCATTTTTGGTAGAACTTTATTCTGCTTTGGGACAGAGGGATGGGCTGGGTGGTCTCTCCAAGACCCTGTCAGTCCTGTTTTCTGGACTTTTGTCTGATATTCATCTATATGAACACATGAAACTTGTGGAAGCAGAGATGAGTATTGCAGAGGGGCTAGACTGCTCTTTGAGCCTTTTACCTCCAAATCAGTAGCATGAAACAAAGATCATCGATCTTCCTGTGGTATTATCTCAAACTCTTTTCTGTATGTGGACACTTGACCATAACACGGACACAGGGGCTGTTTTTGCGGTACATGTTTGTGCATCCAGCACAAAAGACTTCAGTCCTATGTAATTTAATGTAATATAAAGAAAGCATGAATTGATTGGCAGACCTGCTTCAGGAGATGTAAGAAGCGACCATGCCAAAGGACCAGTGCACCTCCCAAGTAAACAGTGATGGAAATGGTAGAGAGCTCTTCTCCCATGCTCCATAGGTCAAATAATGCTCTTTTTCCTGTTCACGTGTGATAATTTCTTCTCATGAAAGAAAACTATAGCAGGTAAATGAAGAAAATTGAGATTTGCATTCACTTTTCAAAGTGGCTGCTTGGGCGGCAGGTGCTGTGCTGGGAAAGAGGCATGGCTTTGACAAAAAATAAACGGGAAATATCCCCTCCCTGCATGATGTGTGGTACGAGGCATTGCTCTCCTGGTCTTTTGATGTCACTGCATTCTTTCAACCATAATCTGATGGTAAGAAAAAAGAAACTGGGGTTGAGGAAAGGAGAAAAGCAAAGAATGATGCAGCAGCAGATGACTCAGTTCCCATCTGCCTTCAGGCAGATGAAATACAAGCCATTCGCTGTGGCAAACCACGCAGACTTTTGACCTACATTTTGGGTTTGCATAGTGACAAACCTCGGATATACCCAGAGTTCATTCAGAATTGCACTGAGAGAAAGCAAACAAAAGTATCGCGCTTCTTGTTTCCCTCAGTCATGACAACGTATGCAGGAGGTGAACCTTGTTATGCAAGTTGGAGGGTTTTGAGTCTAAAATAAAGATACGGGGTGGAGGAGGAGAGAGAAAATGATGCCAAAAATGCCTTTCGTAGAGAAATGTTAGCACATCAGTGTAAAAAATAATATTTTTTGTAGTAAAATCTTGACATGGTTCGCTTTGATCACAGTGTCAATTATGTGAGAGGGGTTTATGTAGTTTTGCTGACTGTAGGATAAAGTAGCTCTCCCAGGAGGAGCCTGGGGTGGAATTGCAGCATGTGCTTGTTATTGTATTTAACTATGCTTTGCTGCATTAATTAAACCAAACCACAGGGAGAGGTGAGCAAGCCCTGAACAGATCCCACCAAGGTTGTGAGACTTGAATGTTCACCCGGGATACTGCAACCACTCTAAAAAAGGAAAAGATGGAAGGGTCCTGAAAGCAGATGACAATCAGTGTGCTCGGGCTGCAGCGGGACAGGAGCAACCACAATTATGAAGCAGCCGAAGCTGCCTTGTTAACCTGGAGAAAGGATCCACGAAACCAGCAGGTCCTTCTTCACTCCTGGAGTTGGCTGGTTGTAATGAAGCGGGAAGTTGAGCTAGCAGGGGTAAACGGGGCAATAAAAGCATCAAACGCTGTTTGGCACTCTTGCAATCCATCTGGGTGAAGGTGAATGGGAACTTCTGACTGGGTTAATTAGGAGTTTCCCAGTGTGGCATGATGGGCTGGCCATGATGGTGACGTTCCCTGAGGGACACCTGAAAACCCTGAGTCCCTTTTGTCTGAATGCTCTTCTCCCAAGTGCGCTCTTGAGTGGACTTGAATAAACTACTTGCCTGCATGTGGTTGCAGTGAAGCGGGTGAAAATCTTCAAAATGTGGTTGTTGGTTATTTCTTGTGAAAGCATCATTATTGCCAAATGGGTGAATATCTCTATCCTCTCAAGCAGGGCCACCAATTTAGAAACAAACTTCTCCTGTAGGAGGGCATTACTTTGCAGTTTTAAGCTGTGGCACTGAAAACTGCAATTAATCATTGCACACGTGGATATTCGTATGTCCTTTTCTCTTTGCATCAAAGGTGATCTTTGTAGTCTTTCATTGGCACTAGTTGTTTCCATCCCCTGGGGCATCTTCTTGTCATGCAGCTCACATGGTGTCATTCTGCCTTTGTGTTTCCTGCTGTGCCGCGGTCACAAAATAAGGCTGAGCTTTTAGCTTTGCCAATGATGACCATTTCTACCAAAGAACTAAAAGGCCCAAATGATCTGTATGAAAAGGGGGTTTCATTGAATGCTGAGGTTGTGGTGACCTCAGGCGTTGGGTACTTCTCATATTGATTAGCCAAATACCCTCCTTTCCTTCTCTGAGACGGAGAGGAAGATCTAACAGTCAATCAGATGGAAACAGGGCTGTGGTTGCTGTCTCTGCATGCAGGACGTAGGGCTGGATGCCGATCTCGGTGTATGCCACGAAACTTGCACTCTGAGCATTGGTTGTTTTCTACCTCTGAGGGCAGAGGGAAGATGGGGGGGAGCGTGTGGGGAGATCTGGGTAGCTGGCAAGCTTGCCAGTGCTGAATTAAATACGAGGGTGCCAGATATATACAGCTGTAAGTGTCTCGTTAATTACTGGTGCATTTGCAGAACATACGATGTGCTGGTTGATTGCTTTGGGGGAGGGGAAGCATCTCACTTGCGTAGATATCACCCCAAATTTTCTACCGGTGAACCAAAGATGCTTGGAGAATACATTTTTGCTTTCCTCAAGGTAAGTTTTACCATTTTTATGGCTCTTCTGTGCACCATGATCTGCAAGATGGACTCTGGCTACAAGGCATTAACAATTTGCAGTTGTTCTAGTGCTAATTTGGGAAAGGGATTCGATGCAGCTCTGGAGAGGTGCCCACTTTGTGGCTCGCGTGGATGGGTTGATGTTGGAATAAAAGACTGAGCCGTCTGATGTTTTACGTAGCTGATAACTGAATGTCACATACACCTCTGATGCACTGATGAAGTTGCCACATGCTGGCAGAAGAACAGCAGATGAGAGGTAATTTGATTTTTGACTGATTTTTTTTTTTTTTTTTTTTTTTTTTTTTTTACCCCTCTTTGACTGTGAACAGAGCTAATCACCTCGTGTTCACTGTGGGCAAGAAGTGTATACTGGACTAGTGACTTGGCTCATCTGATGTGGTAACGCAACTGTATCTGAGAGAGGCTAATTCGCTATTATTACTCATCAAAAAGGCCGGGTAGAACTTCATGTGATGCTCAAGAGAGAAGCACTCACCTTTACCTTCTTTGTTTAAGAGCTGATTCAGGTTTGGTTGCTAGAACCCCTTAGAAATGCAACTACTACCCTTATAACAGGCTCTTTAGGCATGGATTGGATATGGCACATGTGTAGAAGGAATGCCTGGATGGTCTTCTGGGCTTCATAATCAGAATTAAAATCATGATCACCTTAGAAGCCTTTAAAAATAACAGTTTGGACAGAGTTTTAACGCATTAGCTTTCTAAGAACCCAACCCCCCCAAATATCAGCTTTGAGATCAAGAAGACAACTTGTTTTGACAGAGTTGTTTCACTAATCTCCTGACTGATCCACTTTTGTGGTACGGCGCGTTTGACAGTGTTCAAATTCCATTTTTTCCCCTCATTCAGAAATTCGTGGTTCTCATGAAGAATGGCAGGCAGTAGCTGGAAGCATAACAACAGCTCAGCACAATCTATATTGCTTGCTGAAATGGTTTCATCACTTGAAAAATGGAAAATATAAAAGCCTAAAGCTATGTAATGTCAAGTATCTCCTCCACACTTATCTTCTTGACAGGGTTCTTGTAGAGCGAGTCTTTCTCTTCTGCATTTTCAGAGCAGATTTTTGAAAATGAGCTGAAATGGAACAATTATGGACTATCTAAAGAAAAAAACCTCTGAAGAGCCATAATCACCTAAAGAAAAAAAAAACTCTCAAGAGCCATAATCATGCTTTGCTCCAGTTCCCCATGACCATCTCTAAGCCAGTTTCCAGAATAAATGCTGCTTCACTCCAGTTACTCTCTATGCGATGATTCATGGACACCAGCACTGCCAACACCTACATCTCTTCCACTTTCAGGTCTCACACTCATCCAGTAGCTTCTGTACTTGCTCTTGAACTGGAGTGATTTCACCGCTCAGGAAAATGACCATTAATTCAAGATGGTAAAAACCTATTTCTTGGGCGTCATTAGCAAAAATGAAGAATTGATCTCTTAACTGTCAATAGCTGCTAGACTGCTG